CCGGGCATTAGATTTCAATGTATAAATTCAGGGGAGGGACAGGAACCTTACCTCCAAACCAAGGTGCATATACGATAAATTAAGATCAAGGAAAAAGAGAGAAAGAGACAGGGAGAGGGGAGGACTGTGTATGTGTGGTAGAGACAGTAGTGGAGGGTGAAGGGCTGGGATTTTTGCACAATCCCAGGAGGGCTTTTCAATTTGAACATGAATCTTGTCTGCCAAATCTGACAGGGACTCTCTTCTAACCTATTACTTACAATCTTAGAGAAAAAAAAATCTTTCAATCTTTTACGGGAAGTAAAAAACTACTTTTGAAAGTCATATATACATACTTGAAATGTTTAGTCCTCTTTTAGAAATACATTATTTCTATCAAAATTTTAAAAGGTCACTTGGTAGCCTGCTCAACACACACTTGACTGTCCCTTCAAACCCTTCAGTGGCTCTCTGCTGACAGAGACATCCAACTACTCACTGTCCCACATCGCCACTTCACAAGGTAGATTAGACCTGGCTCCTAGCTTATCTCTCAAAGCTACTGGATGTAAATGGTGTTGTCCATCTCCCTCCCTCTCTCCCTCCCTCCCTTCCTCCCTCCTTCTCTCTCTCTGAGACACGGTTCTCTGTGTAGTCCTGGCTGTCTTGAAACTCTCTCTGTAGACCAGGCTGGCCTCAAACTCAGAGATCTGCCTGTCGCTGCCTCCTGAGTGCTGGGATTAAAGGCGTGCACCACCAGCAGCCAGCTTCAGTTCCCATCACTTAAGACCATTCGTGAGGCACTTCCTACAGTGAAGCCTTGTCCATCCTACCCCTACAACACCATTTAAATGGGTTTCTCCCCGTGCCTTGGCAGCCTCATCCAGGGGATGTCAAGTACCAGCCAGCTTTTTCGGTTCCACTGTTAGGCTGTGGTTTTCTCAGGGTGGAGTACTTCCGATTGTCCCTTTGAATCCTGTGAGCACCAAGACTTCTGTGTCATGGGCCTTAAATTTCTATTGTCTTGATGGACAAATCATGCCTGAATGGAAATTTCTACTCAAAATACATTTTCTCAGAAAAGTAAGTTGACTTTTTCTTTTAATAATGCCTTATTTCTTACCGGGAATATATTATGTAATTTCTTCTTGTATATGACTTGGAAAATATTGCAATCTATAAAACAGTATTTTTGCAAAGTTCTGGAACCTTCCCACACAGAAGTCCTTGTACTAAATCAGTTAACTGCCTGTCAATGCTTTTATGTACATGAGAAAGAGTGTGTCTGAGTGGGAGCATGTGTGTACTGTGTATGTATGTGTGTGTGTGTGTGTGTGTGTGTGTGTGTGTGTGTGTACTGTGTGGCTATAGGTGTGAATGTAAGTGTGTGCTGTGTGAGTGTGTACTGTGTGAGTGTGTGCTGTATAAGTACATGTGTATGCATGTGTGTGAGCATGTGTATATATATGTGAGCATATGTGTATTGTGTATGTGTGTGAGCTTATATGTGTATACATATGTGAGTGTGTGTATGCTCATGACTTTAAAAACCACACAGAAGCTCCATCTTTCTCTTCATTCTTCTCCCTTCAGTGATAGGGATTAAACCCAGAAGCCTCTACCACTGAGCTGCGTCTCCAGTCCTCATGAGTTCCAATTATTATGTGTTCTGCAGAGTTGTAGACTTAGCATTCTAGAGAAATTTGGATTTCACAGCAAAATTCAGAGAGGGCAGATGCTTCTCACATACCTGCTCCTCTCCCACGTCTCTGCTGCAGATGGTTCTCACACACCTGTGCTCCTGTCCACAAGTGCAGATACTTCTCGCACACCTGACTTCCCACATTTTCAGGCACAGATGTGTCTCTTACACATCACCAAATTCTCCTCCTACCAACATCCTCACCTGAGCGGTAACATGTGTCACACTGGAAACTCCTACATTCGCATGTGATAGTCACCTATTGGTGATGCGACATTTGTCCTCACTCATGGTGGTGAACATGGGTTTCGACAGTTGTGACAATGGCGTCTATCTCCTGGTACAGTGCCATACCAAGTAGTACATTTGCCCTGAGATCCCACCGTTACCCAAATGTCCCTCTTCCTCATTTCTCTCACTGAACCCATGTTCAGCAACCACTTTCTCTCAATGTTTCCCTAGTTTGGCCTTCTCTAGAAGATCATATAATTAGATCATGGGGAATACAGTCTTGTTAGAGAAATGTCAGTTAGAATCAAGTACATAAAGTACTTCTGTATCTTCTGGCCTTGAAAACGCTTTTTCATGCTGAATGATACTCTGTTGCTTGACTCTCCTAAGTTTATTTAGCCTTCTGTCTACTGAAGGGTGTCTCAATTGCTTCCACGCTGCAGCAGCTTGAGACAGAGACATCACAAACCACATATGCAGGACCTTGTGAGACATACATTTTCAACTGGGTTGGATAAATTCCAAGAAGGAGTTGCTGATTCCTAGATGTTAATTTTTTTGTTTTTGTTTTTGCCACATACTTACAAGTTAAAGAAGAAAATAATCCATGCTTCCCATGTGCATTTTTTAAAAGAAATTCTCTCTTTCTATCCCTTCCTCTCTTTCCCTCCCCTTCTCTTTCAGAGACAAGATCTCACGCTTTCACTATGTAGCCCAGGTTAACCCAGAACTCAAGATTCTTCTGCCTTAGCCTCTTAAATGTTGGGATTATAGAAGTTATATAGGACACTAACCTTGGTTTTTTGTTTGTTTTTATGCTATTTTATTTTATTTGTGTGTGTTATATGGTTGTGGTTGTATGTGTTCCTATGTGGTACACATGTGTATGATTACATGTACACATGTTTGCATTTGGAGGTCAGCAGTCAATGTCAGATGCCTTTTTCAATTGATTTTTCCCATGATGTTTTTGAGACAGAGTATTTAATTGAACCATGAACTCACCAATTGATACAGGCTGGCTGGCAAGCAAGCCCGAGGGAGGCCCCTTTCTCCGCTGAGATTACAGGTGGGTGCTTCTGTTCCTGGCTTTTTGTGCAGGTGCCAGAGATCCAGACTTGGGTCCTTAGGCTTCCCTGGCAGACAGCATTACCAACTGAGCCATCTCTCTAGCCGTTATGAAGTAAACACCACGAGGGTACTGAGGCTCATGTATGAAATAGTAGAGACAAACCAGGATGAAGCAGGGGCATGACCAAGTTCTCTGCACTCCAAATGCAGCAAGAATTATATCATCAACATGGCTTCCCAGGATGGGGGGGCGGTCCTGGAGGCAGTAGGCCATGTAGTGCATTTTTCCTTCCTGATGAATTTAGAGGGAGAATTCAGAGATTTCAGTGTCAGGAAGCTGCACACATGCAGACCAGAGAGGTCTTTGGAAGCTACTCTTTCAAAAAGTAAAACAGCAATAAAGTGTATACTCATGACCTAAAGAAACTCCCACTGCTCAGACTCTGCACATGAGCTTCTGCACCAGACTTGTGAGTCAAGGCTGATTAGAGTCAGAATTCAAGGAACCTATGCTAGAATCCAGTGGCGTGCCTATTCGAAAATTCTCCTGTGCTGTATGACTTGTGATGGTGGTTCTCAATCTGTGGGTCGTGACCCCCTCCACAAAGCTCTGTATCTAAACATATTTACATTATAATTTGTAACAGTAATAAAAATTACAGTTGTGAAATAGCAACAAAGATAATTTTATGGTTGTGAGGTCACCACCACATGAAGAACTGTATCGAAGGGTCCCAGCATTAGGAAGGTTGAGAACCAGTGCATAAAGGACACTATTGACAATAGCTACCAGCAAATGTTCAGGTTTTTGTTTTTGCTTTTTCTGAGACAGGGTTTCTCTGTATAGCCCTGGATATACAATTGGTGTATTGGTAGCTGGAATATTATCCAGCTACAGAAAGGACTGAGTACTGACTTACGCTACCGTATGTTGACAACATTTAGCCACATGTAAGAATCCACAGAGAGGCCACCTGCTACATGGTGACATCCATGAGAATTATCCAGAATAGACAGAGCCTTAGAGACAGAAAGCAGACAGGTGATCGGTGGGGAGTTGGGAGAGGAGAGAACAGGGAGCGACTTCTTAATGGGTATGGGGTATTCTTTTAGGCAGATGGACACATTTTAGAACTTGATGTGGGTCATTGCACAGAATTGTAAAGGTGCAAAATGCTGCTAATCGTGAATTTCACCCCATGTGTTTTACCATAAGAGTCAGGTGGGGGCGCACTGATGGAGGGGTGTGCGGTGAAGGCAATTGCATCTTCTGCTCTAAGGACATGGCCTCCAATAGCCAATGGCAAAGGCCAAACATAACTGCAGGCAGGGACCAAATAAGCTTACAGACCAGAGCTCAAAGAGGCCTGTTCTCTTCCATGACTTGCCTGAGCCTTTCTTGGCTGTTGTGTGTCCTGGACAATACAAGAGGGGGCACAGTGGCTCTCGGGATTTCCTCTGAAGCCTTGCTTCTCAGCCACTCCAGCTGTCAGCTCCCAGCCAGAAGCTTGGCGCTCGAGTGATCAATAAACCAAACAAGGCCATGTGCAACCGGGGAGTTTAAAGGAGATAATTAAACAAACTTCTCATGCAAGCACCCTTATGGGGATTAATTGAGATTTAAATAATTAAGCCTCTCTGGGTATGCTAGCTGAGAAATACAAATGAGGAAGGGCTGTCACGGTACCAAGGCCAGACCTACTGCACCGAGGGAGTTGCAGCATGGGTACCAGTGTGATGTCCCAGAAGCCCAGCTCCCCACATTCTCCTGGCTCTTTGTGTGTGTGTGTGTGTGTGTGTGTGTGTGTGTGTGTGTGTGTGTGTGTGTGTAGGGTCTCAGCAAAAGCATGCATCTTCTTCCTGAGTCCAAAGCCACACCCTGCCACTCCCCTTCATCATCTCTCCCTGGATTCTGCCATGCTTCCTGGTCAGTCACCTTCATGGGATTCCAGCTTTGCCAGAATTTAACATTTTACAGCACAGCCCTGTTGCCCCATCCATCTTTGCCTTACCCGGCCTGCCAGTCCTGTATGATGTGACCCCGGTGACTTTCCCAGCTTCCTCACCTGCTCTCTGCTGCTGGAAGGGGACTCTTCCTCATCTTGTGTTTCCCTTCAGCGTCCTGCCACTGAGCCTTTGGTGTTTGCCACATGAGCCAGTGGCATGCCACTGACACCCCATGGCATTCAGCTCCATACATCATTACAACTCTTCCTTGGGGTGCCTTCCCCATCTTCTCAAAGATAAACATTTATGTGCAAAGCTCATCTCTTCTTGGATTCCCAGTTTCTCTCATAGGCAGCTGTGCATGGTTCACACCAAACTCCAAGGAGCAGATGTGCTTTTGGAAAGTAGGATGTTTCCATTTGGAGACAGTAGGATGGAGACAGTGTGCCCGTTCTGCACCGTGTAATGACAGCAGGTGGTCTCTGCCAGGTGCAACATCCACAGCTTGGCTGCAGATGCAGGGACAGCCACACCAGAAGGGAGAGATGATGGTGTTGTGTACTTCAGCTCAGTTCAGGTCAGGCTTGACCCATTGACTGCAAATAACTCAGCTTTTAGAGTTTGCCTTTGGGAGCTGAGGATTCTGAAGCAGGACCCCGACACATCTCAGGGATGCAGCTGAGAGAGAGCTGAGCTTGTCAATATGTTTTCCCAAGAAAAAAGGAGACCATCTCTAACTCAGCTTTTATCAAATAGATGTATCGACAAGCAGAGAAGCTTTCAGTGAATGGAGAATTACAACAATCAACATGTCTATTGAGTTGTAGTGGCTCTAGTCTTCTGGGAGACCATTGGATATGGCTCATGTGCGCATCAAGGATGGGGGGCAGGGCAGGATCTCAAGTGGCAAGGGGATCCCCACAGCTTCAGCATGGGACTTGAGCATGGCCTCAAGGGTACATATCTTCAAGACATTCTGGCCATTCCTTGGTCTCTGGCTCTTTTTTGGTGCCACATCTACAATCACCTTTGATTATCCAGCCATTGGACTTGGAAGAGCAAGGCAGCCTGCAAGGTCAGATAAAAGGTTGGGTGTAAGATACTAAAAGAAGGAAATTTGAGTCTCTGGGTGAAACAGTAGAGATGTAGATTCAGCTCTCAAAAGAAGAACTACCTTAATATCAAGGGATCCTTGCTGGGCCCAGGTAACCTAGATACAGCCTCTCAATGAAAGTTATAGATTTGTTTCCAAGCTGGATCTTAGTGGCTTTCAAATCACAGCTTCTTGGATTTATTGCAGGTCATTAGCCACTGCGCTGCGACACAGGGAAGAAGTGAGAAGATTAAAGTAACAGCTAGGGTCTTTGAGAAAGAATTTGGCCAGTCTCTGCTGCCTGGAGTACACTGTTAAATCATTATCACCCGTTAATTCTCCGTGTAACATTAGGGAGGAAAATTATTATCCAAGTGGCAGGGAGTTTTCAATTAATTCTGCAGAGCCAGTCCCATGTTAACTGGCTACCTGTGAGCTGGAGATGAGTTTCTTGGGGGAATTAGAATGTGGATGGGCAAGGCTCCCTGAGTCAGGACCTGATATGAAATCTATAGCTCAATGCAAAATGAATAGCCATGAGTGAAGGAGGCAGCTTGGGGAAGAAAGGATTTATTTGGGCTCACAGTCTGAGAGCACAGCCCATTGTGGTTGGGAGGCATGGTGGCAGGGGTGTGAGGTCATATTGTAGCCAGGAACCAGAGAACAATAAACGCTGGTGCTCAGCTCACTTTTAATTCAATTCGGAACACCAGCCCATGGGATGGTATTGACCACATTCAAGGTGACTTGTCCCTTATCAGTTAAACCTTTCTGAAAACACCTTCATAGACACATCCAGAGATGTGTTTCCATGGTGATTTTAAGGGCAGTCAAATTGACAACTAAGATTAGATATATTACTCCTATTCTCAAATTAGTTATGTTTGAAGACAGTAGAATTGTAGAGCCATAAGCCTAGTATGAGATGTTTCTGAGAATGGGGTGATATTGACTCCAAACTCATATGCCTGTGAAGTAGGCTCTACTCCACAGCATGCAGAGATGTTGCAGGAAATGCTATGCAGTAGAAAAAAAAAAAACAGAAAAAACCCTGTATTCTAAAGCAGGAAAATTTATGATATGTTTAATTTTGCATGCCACTACTTGGATGATGGGGAGAGAGAGCCTGCATGTCTCCATTTGTGATTTTCAGCTAATGCACTGGTCTCAGTGATATTGTAGACATGAAGTGTATTCTGTAGGGTGCTTAACTAAGCCTGTGATTTCTAGTGAGAATTCAGGAAATTTTTGTTCATGAGCAGACTTGTGGGTACCCTGCTACATCTCTCACACCCCTCCCTGAAGCACCTGTCTGATGACGTCCAAACGTCAACATCTGGAGTTCTTGGCTGGTGCCAGGAATAGCCAAAATACTTCATCATCCTTCAACTAATGACCAAAGAATTAGCATAGCAATTCTCCAGTTCTGTCACCCCTCAGATATGAGGATTCTTGAGTTCTGTGTCTTCCCTACCCTTGAGTCTGCCCGATGGACTCGATCTCCCTTCCCAGCAGGGAGAGTAGCAGGCCACTCTCCTCGCCTGCTCTTTCCTGTAGCCTTTACTATTCTACTAGGAGGCAGTCATGTGGTCTCTAAATTTGTGCCCAGTGGACTCCCACCTATAAGGACTCACTGCTGTGGGATGGTCTCTATGTCAAATTTCTCTGATTGGTCAATAAATAAAGCACTGATTGGCCAGTGGCCAGGCAGGAAGTATAGGCGGGACTAACAGAGAGGAGAATTGAGAGAATTCTGGGAAGTGAAAGGCGGAGGAGGGAGACATTGCCAGCCGCTGCCATGACAAGCAGCATGTGAAGATGCCAGTAAGCCACGAGCCACATGGCAAGGTGTAGATTTATGGAAATGGGTTAATTTAAGCTATATGAACAGTTAGCAAGAAGCCTGCTACGGCCATACAGTTTGGAAGCAATATAAGTCTCTGTGTTTACTTGGTTGGGTCTGAGCAGCTGTGGGACTGGCGGGTGACAGAGATCTGTCCTGACTGTGGGCCAGGCAGGAAAACTCTGGCTACATCCCTACCTTACCTCAATGGAGGCATCTGAATATTTCCAAGAAGAGGAGCCATGGGGACCTCCACTTTCCTGTGGGGACACTAGGTATGTGCCAGACATGAGAGTCTCCCCACCTGGACCAGACCTTGTCGTCTTTCAGGCAGAGAGAGTGTATGTGGGACCTGGTATTTTTCTTCTCTGGACTTTGCCTTCAGCAGGTCCACACTGAGACTGTCCTCCAGATACCTGGGCCCGACGCAGGACCCTCAGACCTTCAGTGCAAGGCCACCCTTCAGTGTTGCTGTGCCTTTGTGATAGAGCTCTAGGATTTGTTTTCAGCATCCTTGGCTTACACTTGGGTTCCATTTAGTGTTATTTCTCGTGTTCTTGGAGTAGGTTTGGAAACTGCAGATCTCTCTCTCTCTCTTCTCTACTTTTCCTCTTGCTCGTTCTCCTTTGTCTTTCTCTATCTTCTGTTCAGAATGGGGGTATCAAGAATATCAGACTTCCCTTAGAGCAAAAGATCATAAAGAATGCTGGTGTGGGCTCCTCTGGTGGTCTGATGCAGCCTCGAGACATCTTCTCAGAGTAGTGTTTCTTAGTGCATAAAATAAAGTATATCATTACAAAGACAAAACATAATTAATAATGTCTTACTCTGTTGATATATTATAAAACCTCAATTTATGGCCTAACACTATCTGTGGTTTCTGATAATGAATTCAAAACAAGATCTAATGTGGATGTGGATATAACCTTCATAAACTTGAAGTGCTAATGGGCATAAATAATAGTTTTTATATACCAGCAACCACTATACGATGTTGTAAACATGTCTGTTGGTGATAAAAAAAAACCCCAGAATTATTAATACCAGTCCGGTTTCCTGTTTACTTTCATAATGGAGGGGAAGGCTACATTTCAGTTAGAGATGAATGAAAATAAATATGTAATGTTTTCCCACCCAGGTTTTGGGTTGTCTGGTTTCTATCTTCTGGTCTTTGTTAAAAGTATATCTTAGAATTTGATGAGCAAGCTGAATCTTCACACGCTTATCCCATCTTTCATAGCCATAATGACAGCCTTCTTTCTCCCCAAGGCGAGCAAGAGGCAGGCGAGCATAGTCCTAGCTCTGAAGCCTGCGACTCCACTTGGCTTGGGCTGTACACATGTCCCTCTCCTAATAATGCACTTGTCTACCTAGGAGTCTCACCTGCATGCATAATACTCTGACTCTGCAATTCACCTAGCAATCTGTTGGCAATCTAAGACCCCTCCTGCATAACCTGCGTGCAGACCCCACTCTGACCAATAGAGTCAGTTTTTCTTTTCCTTAATGCCCATCAGATTTGGACAATTTCTGCTCAAACGTTGCCCTAACCCATCTGGAATGAGGGTCAGAGGTCAATCCAGGCTGAACTAGTTTAGGGTATACACACAATAAGGCAAATGATGTCCTCAAAGTGAACTCCTAGGGAAAACTCGTATTTGCCACCTTCGATCTACATAGAGTTTGGCATACATATAATTAAAATTGCACACATTGTGGAAAGGGACATTTGCAGTGAGCAAATTCCTGCCTAACTCAAGCCTGTCAGTCAAAATACAGAGCCATTCAAAACTACGCCCCTAGTAACCAAACTCCTTCTCTTTAGCCCCATACATGGAAGCTACAAACAATAACCAGGGCCCTGTGACCCTCATTTATGCAGACTGCTGTCAGCCCTGACAGTGTATTCCTTTTCCATCTGCACTGTCTCCTGAACTGCAGTTTCCTTGATATTTGCAGCATGTAAACTAATTTATTTAATTCTTAGATAAGAGACCAAGAGCCTGGAAACAGCTGGCCCAAGCTTGGACCACCAATAACACCAGCAGAAGGAGGGCTGAGGGGCACTGGTGGCTGGCCTGTCTCACTACTGCCACCTGTGGACAGACTCTGTCATGGCAGGGGCATTGGTCTTGGCCCCCAGTGTGCTAGTTGGATGTAGAAGGAGGAAAGATGTAGAGAGAGGAAGCTTGTACATAGAGATGTCAAGCCAGGCCCCTGTCCCCAAATGTAATTCTACTAACACCCACAATTGCCCATGAGGAAAACTGAACTTTCACACTGGTGGACATATGGGCTGCCTGGAAATCGACAGATAATTGTATTGCACCCCAATTTGGCTTTCCTTCAAGATAGAAGATGAATTAGATACTGAACAAAATTATTGGCTGAGTAGAAAAATAGATGTTCTCCAGCCAAAAAAGAATAAAAGAGGCAGAGGAAAGCTGTGAATAGGCCATTAGAGAGTGACAAAGGCATCCTGTTGTGGAAAAAGGTCATATGCAGAAAGAAACATTCAGTCGCTGAGACTGATGTGTGGAAACAATACTTTCCCAGGGTGCCTCTGGCAGCCCCACAGTGTGTGGTAGAGAGAAAGGCCGCTGCTGGGCAGACTGTGTTCATGCCCAAGCTTTCACTCACTTTTGAAAATACTATTCTTTCTGGATTCCCTTTCCCCCCTCCTGGGCACAAAGCTGCTTACTTCATGCCTTTCTGATGAATGGCTCCTACATTGGCAGAGTACCTGGTCTTAAAGGAACAAGAAGAAAGGAAAATTGGGGGTTTAAATTTTAAGTCTTTTTCTTTATAACCAGGGGCTTCAGGTAAGCACTCATCCTTGCAATTCTTCCCTCAGAAATGAGAGCAAAGGGACAAAGTGTGAGGTCTGCATACGGTGGGGTCAGCATCTAGACAGGGTGGAAGATCGGTGTGGGAAAGCACCAATAGTCCCAGGAAGGAATGTCAGCATCAGTAGCTGCCCCTTCGAATACCTGGGAAGGCAGTGTCATCATCTTCAGTCTCCAAGATGATCGAGGACTTCCTGTATGAAGGATGGTGGGTACCCTAACCACTTCTTGGCACCAATACACCAGGCTTATTAGTACCCAAGGCCCCACTTCCTAAGCTGTTAAGTGTGATGCTGGTCTTACCAACCATAAGGATAGAGGTGTGGGTGAACTTGGCTTGATTCTGAAAATGTCCCCGTGAGAGACCCTGCATAGGCTTTACTGTGCCTATTTCCAGAGCTTGTGAGGTCTCTACCCAGTGTTCTTGAGCCTTTGATGCTCCCACTCTAAGCTTGGCTATGGTTCCCCTTGGTTCTCCCAAACAGAGGATATCTATCTGTCTATCTATCTATCTATCTATCTATCTATCTATCTATCTATCTATCTATCTATCTATCTATCTATCTATCTATGTATCTCTTCCTTCTAGGTTGGCACCCAGGCTACGTCAAAGACTCTCAAGAATTCTTTGCCAAGAGGAGTTTCTTTTGGTGACTGCAAGTGATTCTCCATCTGACACAACAGTCCTATCTATCTGGATGTTGAGCTGACAGCACACATTGTCTTAGGATATGTCAATTCATTTTCCTTTGATTCCACTTTAAACCCCAGGCACCACACATCATGCCGTTATTTATACTTCTTAATAAACTGCACTCTAACGTAGTGGCAGATCACAGTAAGCTTATTGCTACTCATAATTCTTGTGGGTCATTAATGAAACAGGACAACTATTTTCATTTGAATATGAAATATCCCTCACAGGATCAAATGTGGAACACTTGTTCCTCAGATGGAGGAAGTAGGTCACTGGGTCCATGCCTTTGAAGCTTATTTCTGCTCTGTTCCTTTATTCTCTTCACTTCCTGTTCTCCATGAAGTGAATGATATGTGTACACATTCCCACTGCCATGATATTCCACCCATCATGGGCGCAGAATCAACAGAACCAAGGACAATAGACTGAGGTCCCTGGAATGTTGAGTCATAATGAAGAATTCCTTTCTTGGAGTTGTTTGCTTAGACATTTAGTTATGGCAGTCATACAACTAATGTGGCAATATGGTAGGGGTTTTCTTTACTCCTCTCACTGCTGTGACAAAATATCTGACCAAGGCGACTTAAGAAAGGGACAGTTTGTTTAGGCTCAGGGTTTGAAAGTACAGTCCATGACGATGATGAAGGCATGGTGGCAGATGAATGAGGTGGTTGGTCACATTATATCCACAGTTAGGAAGCAGAAAGAGATGAACGTGAATAATCATCTAGATTTCTCCTTTTTATTCAGTCTAGGATTTCAGCCCATGGGATGGTACGGGATGGTACTGCCCATTCAAGTTTAGTTTTCCATCCTCAATAAACCTCTAATGAGACACTGTCATAGACACATCTAGAGGTGTGTTTCCATGGCAGCTCAAAGTCCAATCAGGCTGATAATCAAGGTTAAACATCACACATGGAGATTGCTCATCACTGTGTGTGATATCTGGGAACTGGGATCCTCACGCAACTTCTTCACCTGTCTGCTGTCTTGGCTAGAATGACTGCAACCCATTGGGATGCAAAGTCTGGATAGTGTCCTGTGGCCCTCTCTACACAGGCTCTTCAGCTTTCTTCTGCAGCAGAGTGGTCAGAAAACTGGTGAAAGCCAATTATAGAGCAGCTCATATCTAACATGGAAGGGGAAGGGTCTAAACATGAGGAGTGTAAGGCATGCTAAGTCATTGAGACCACCTTTGGAGCCCCACCACAATGGCATCCTTTCATAGTGGCAGTGGTCAAAAACCAATCTTGCATGCCTTTGTCTAACCTATGGAGAAATTTATCAAGTGTTTCCACAGTGAGCATCATTGACAAATGTGTGCCAGGGCCTGTTGTCCTGTAATACCTGATTAATGACTGTGACAGACATGGGCAGCCATAATTGAAGACATGATGATCAGTGGCCTCTGAGACTGGGTAAGGCCTCTTGATGCTTCCTCTAACCAGTGACAGAGTGGAGAAGGCCTTTTGAAAGAAAGGAGCAGGAAGTAGAGAATGGCTAGGATGAGATGAAAACACATTGTTTCTCTTCTCCTGTTAATAAAGCCTGATCCTGATAACCCAGGGGATGTGTGATAATTGCTCTAGTGTCTGCTTTTCCATATCATAGCCCCAACCCTGGCTGCCGGAAGGGTCTTCCAGTATATAACAGAATATCGAAACCCAGTGAAGAAAGGGAGCCTGGTGGTGGGAGTGGGGCATGAGCAAAGGTTGGACAGGCTGATCATGTGACCTGCTCACAGGAGCAGGAGGAGGGTATGTGTCATCCTCTCTGTCCCCACTGCTCTAGTTTCCAGACCATGTCCCTGGTGTCACCAGCTGTAGACTATATGAAGATATGTTCTTCCATGAAAGAGGTTCTGTGAACAATAAGTTTAGAAAAACTGTGTATTCCAAAGAGGTCTTTCCTCAACTAGCAGCACACCAGGGTGAGGCCTATCGAGTTCTGTTTAGCTCATTTGCCAATCACAGAAATTATAAGATTTACAAAAGTTAAAAGATCTGCTTATGAGATAAGTACCCTAGTTAGCTTTAAATGTCAACTAGACACAGCCTAATGTCATCTGAGAAGAGACTCTCAGCTGAGAGACTGACTTGTATTGGTTGGTGCTCGTCATGGTTGTTAATTGACTTAGGAGGGTCCAGCCCACTGTGGGTAGCATCATTCCCTGTGTTGGTGGTTCTGAGTTATCTATGGAGGCTACCTAAGCATGGACCTGGGTTAATTAACTCACAAGTGACATTCCTTCATAGTTTCTGCTTCAAGATTCCTGCTTCTGTTTGGGTTCTTGCCTTGACTTCCAATGCCCCCCTCCTTAGATTGCTTTTGGTTAGAGTTTTATCACAGCAACAGATAGGGAAATAGGACAACAGCTAAGCATGGAGACATGAAAGCAGGTCTCCTGAGGTTTATGGAAATATATAGGGCAATGAAACAGGCTGGTCTAAGGTATAGAGAAAGGAACAGGAGGAGAAGTACGGTAGCTTCTAGCATTGCCTGTGGACTCAGACTCCATATCTCTTGATGGGACTCCACTTCCACCTTCCCAGGGGTTCCTGAGGTAGAACTCCTATCATGGCAAGCACCTTTATTCACAGAGTCATCTCCCCTGCCCTTGACTTGCGTTTCAACCACCTCAAATGAGTGAAGGTTGGGTCTGGGTTCTCCAACGGCCATGAGTGGATTGTAAGGTGGGTAAATAGCTTTGGCTACAGTTCCCTCCGTAGTTATTATAAAGGTCATTCACAGAGACCGTAGGTTGATAGTGCCATTGGTAATTATTATAAGTAAAACGTCAAGCACCCCCCCCCTCTTATTCTACTTAATGTAATATGGTCTTGCCCTACAACACCAGAAGTGAAGTAGATCTATCTAAATAATGAAGCAGAAGCACTGTATCCAAAGAACCTTGTATTTTAGCATCTTCTTAGTTAAGTCTTCCCAGGTTAGGGCATTCACCATTCTGATTTCTGGGGTAGGCCAGTTCAGGCACCCTCCCCACTATTACTAGTAGTCTAAGCTGGGGTCATTCTTGTGGATTCCTGGGAACTTCCCTAGCAACTGGTTTCTCCCTATACTCATGATGTCTCCCTCTATCATGATATCTCTTTCATTACCCTTCTACTCCATCCGTGTCCCACCTCGATCATCCCGTTCCCTTATGTTCTCATCCCTGAGCCCACTACTTATGGTGGGACACCTCGCACAGCCTTGAGGCAGTGGGGAGGGGCTTTGACCTGCCTCTACCAAATGGACCAGGCTCTGCTGAGTCCCCATGGGAGGTCTTACCCTCCTGTGGGAGAAAATAGGGGGTAGGTGAGGGAAGGCTCAAGGGGTGGGAGGAGGGAAGAGGGGGAGTCTGTGATTGGTATGTAAAATGAATAAAAAAATTCTTAATAAAAAAGGAAAACAAGAATATTTAAGAATCTAAAAGAAAAATCTTGCCAGGTTATAGACACCCTAGGTTTTCAGGAATTAAAACTATTTTTCCCAAGGGCTCCAGTGGCAGACACAGATTAAGATACCAAATCTCTCCAATTCTGGTGTGAAATCAAGTGTTTATCTACCAGGAGCCCCTTCACTGGGTATTTGTACTATATTTCTGAAACCCAGCAGGACACTGGGAGCACAGAGTTCAGAAGGATGCAACTAAACAGGAATGGACATTGTTTTAAATAAAATAGTTTTACACATGCCATGCTTAAAGTACAGGCATTGCACACACATATAAGTGAAACAGGGGAACCGGAATAAACCTTGCACGTATCCCTGGTGTCTTGGGGTTTCTGTTATTGTAAAGAAACACCATGACCATGGCAATTCATATAAAAGAAAACATTTAATTGGGGCTGGCTTACATTCCATTATCATCGTGGTGGGAAACATGGAGGCATACAGGCAGGCTTGGTGCTGGAGAAGGAGCTGAGAGTACTACATCTTGATCCACAGGCAGCAGAAGAAGACTGTGTACCACACTGGTCATAGCTTGAACTTATAAGACCTCAAAGCTTGCCCCCACAGTGACACACTTCCTTGAACATGGCCACACCTCCTAATAGTGCCACACCCTATAGCCAAGCATTCAAACACTCGAGTTCATGGGAGCTATTCCTATTCAAACCACCACACCTGGTTTTGCTCACTGTTAGTTAATTATTTGTAGTTGATTTTAAAAAATCACTGACTGGTATGAGGCTCATCTTTCCTTTATATATGTAGCTATCACCCCTCACCAAAGAATCTTCTATTTACACCAAATGGAAATATTTGCAAAAAAAAACACAAATAGACACAATGCAGAAATCAACGACTCATAGGGAGCACAGCCCCCGTAGGATACATGTGCATCACAGTTCCTGCATCTATGGCTCAGGGAATATTGCAGAAGAGGGGGTGGGAAGATAGCAAGAGCCAGAATAGCAAGAAGGCTGTTATGGAACAGTCTCTCCTAGAAATGGCTGCATGAACAGCACTGGAACAATGGCAATATCAGTGGGTTTGCTAACATGGAAGGCAGAAATTTCATAGAATCCCACCCTTAGACAAATAACTGCTGTGGGATAATGCTCTTGTACACTGTAAAGATTTGTCACTTGAAATGCTGATTGGCCAGTAGCCAGGCAGGAAGTATAGGCAGGGCAACCAGATTAGGAGAATGCTGGGAAGAAGGAGGGTGGAGTCAAGGAGCTGCCGGCCAGATGAAGAAGAAGCAAGATGAGAATGCCGCACTGAGAAAATGTACCAAGCCACATGGATAAACATAGACAAGAATTATGGGCTAATTTAAGTGTAAGAGTTAGTTAGTAATAAGCCTGAGCTACCGGCCAAGCATTTATAAGTAATGTTAAGCCTCCAAGTCAATTATTTGGAAAGTGGCTGCTGGGTATTTGGGAACAGGCAGGTGAGAGAGAAACTTCAGCCTACAAATAACTACAGACAACTATTGACTGCTGGGTGAAGGAGAGTTAGCCTCTCCTAGGGATGAGCACCTTATTGGTTGTCCAGTGCAGAGTGGTCAGCCTTGAAACTATATACACACAAACAACAATAATGAACTCAGCAGGTTCTATTTACATATATTTGTGCACACACATATGTAACAAATATAATCAAAGAAAAAGAGATTAACAACGTGAGAGTCAGGGGGCATGAGAGGGGTTCCAGGGGGTACCTGGCAGGAAGGAGCTAGAGTGAGAAAGGGAGGGGTGAAGAGATGTAATTCTACTTCAATTAAAAAATAAAAATAAATCACCAATTTTAGATGGGTAATGAGGCCCACACTAGCTTTTCTGTAACCCTTAGCTTGTGAGGCATGATAGGGGGAGGGCAGCTGTCTAGTGCTTTCTTAGAGACA